GCAACACCAACATGTAATGGAATTGTTGCCACAGATCCAAACGTGTGCAATTCAAGTGGTGTTTGTGTCGATTNTGATAAGTGTGAATGTTTTTCTGGTTATGGAGATGCATTCTGTGGCACTCCAACTTGTAATGGAATTCTAGCAACTCAAATTAATGTAGAAGTAGCTGTTTGTAGTGGTCGTGGAGTGTGTTTGGGACCAAATAAGTGTGTCTGTGAACCGAATTGGGGTGGTTTCATGTGTAATATTCCAAAATGCTACGATATTGAAGGAGACAAGAAAGGTGCTTGCTTTGGAAATGGTGATTGTATAGCAGTTGACTCATGTAAATGTTATCAAGGTTATATTGGTTATGATTGTCGTACTGTTGCTCCTGATAATAATTGTGGTGGATCAGGTTCAGGAACTACTTTTTGGGATGTTGTCTTGGAGGGTATGAAGATAATTCGTACAGTGTTATCCGGTGCAGTGTCACTAGCTAGTTCAATTAGTGATGTTATTTCATCCTTAGGAAAAGGTTTGATTGACCTTCTTGGAGGAATTGTTCCAAGCATTGCAAATATTTTCAGCTCCATTCCAAAATTAATAGAGAAAATTATTTCCTTTATTATCAGTACGGCAGAGAAGTTTATTAACTTTATTCTCGGTTTATGGACAAAGATATTAGATTTTATATCATGGTTATTGACCTATCTTCCAAAAATATTTTCTGGAGTTACAACTCAACAAGTGGCAACAGTTTTGATTGTCATTGGTGTTGTCATACTTTTAATCATTATTTGTGTATTGTTGTATTTACTTAGTCCATATGTTACATTGGTACTTGAATTTTTCAAAATTATTACCAGTTTTTGCTCAGCTCGTAAGAAGGCACTTAAGGAGTAGTACAATTATAAACCATTTAGTTGTTGTTTCCAATAATCTCAAAAATATTAGATTTTTTCCCTTGGTCAACCAAAGTTTTCTTGATTAGTTTCAAAAGAAAAGAGACAATAATAAACAAATTCTCAATTTATTTAGGTACCAACTTTTTCTTTTCAATAGAATCGCCAGAACAACAACATCTTGCAACACAACAGCAACAAATTGTCAATGAAATGGTAATCAATACAAATAAAACTGATACACCAACAACAACAGCAATAACTCTGTTTGTGTTAAGTGAAGAAGTATCAAGGAAATCTATAAAGATGAAAGAATCCAAAAAGTCAACAATAACTTGCTTCACTTTGTAGTAAACATATAAAAGTTCACCCCAGAAACTACTTGCTGGTGCTTTGTTATCAACTAATGTACCATTGGATGCAATGTAAAAATCATACTCAACTACGAGTGAGGAAGTATAGGTACCACAAGTGAGAGTCATCATTGCATAGCCTGTGAAATTTTTGGTTGGATAAATTGTAATTGAGTTTGTATCAGAATTTGACAAGGATACATAAGTTGGTGTAAATGAAGGTGTAGATGATTCAAAGAAACAACCTTGTTGAGTTTTAGATTTAACTACACAAGATGTTGATAAACAACTGACAAGAGTTGGTTGTGAATTGTCAGTTGTCAATATTGTCATGTTACCAACAATTTTCAATGAAACTGATGCTAATGAAACACCTTTAAATGAAATTGAAGAAAGAACTGTTGGATCAGTTGGTTCAACAGTAACTGGAATAAAAGATGCTCCATTACGTGTTTCACCTTTGAAAGAAACACGTTTAAGCATATTATCAGGCCAAGTATATGCTAATATTTGTGTATCTGCATCTCCTTTGATTAATTGTGGGTTAGAATCACCACCATCAGTATATCTCTCTATATAGATACAATTTGGTTCCTTGAAAAAAAGTTTGGTAGAAATGACTGGATTGGAGTTGATTGAATTTTCTTTGAAATTATAAATTTTAAAATTTCCAGTTATAGAACCACAAGTAGTTGATAAAGTAAGACTATTTGAAGTTTCAGTGGATTTCCAGCAAGAATTCCTTCAATATTGCTACCAATAATAATAGGTTCAGTTGAATCTATACCTAAATAACCAAATCCTAGAATATTTTCAGGCCTACTAATGGCATGTGAAATACATCCTTTGAAGCAATGATGGATGCTTGTAAATTCAAATCTGAATATTCGGCAAATTTGGCCAAGAAAGAAGCTCTACTTGCAGCATGGGCCTCTAAAATACGTCTAGTAATAGAGGCATTATCAAAAGAAGCTACAGTATAAGCAGGGGAACTTTCACAACCAGTTGAAAAGTGTACCATTGATTGAATTTCTGAGAGTTCAGGAAGTGTAACATCAAAATTACAACTACCTCTTGGTGATTGACAATTATATTTGATTTCACTGTTTTTAATATTGCTGACCTTAATCCAACCAATCTTTGAAATATCAGAAACGTTAAAACCATTTACTACTGAAGAAGGTAGTAAGTAAAAATCTGATTTAGATGTTAAATCAATAACTGAATAATCTGCAACAAATGGAAGGGTAGTTGAATTTAAATCCATAATGAAATTTAAACCAGTGTAACCAATTGGAATTGATGCTTGATTATTTACAACTGAAACTTGAGAAGAACTTCCTTGATATTTAACAGTAATAAAACCGCTATAGGTAGGAGGATCCAATTTACAAACTTTGAAACGTCTAAAAGCTTCAAATGCCAAATTATAACAAGAAGTACTATAACCTGGGTCAGTGTTTGGAATACTAAAAGAAACGGTGTTCAAATAGTTATTACCTGTAAAATCAGGTGGAGAACAAACATTGCTTTTTGAGCAAGCAGAAGTATATCTTGGAATTGGATCATCTGTATAATAACAACTAGAAGATGATAATTTAACAATAAAATCCATTCCAAGTGTAATATCAACAATGGAATTGTCATCTGTAATCTTGAAACAAACTTTGTCATTCAATGTTCGGGTATAACCAGTATCAACAGAATAAATACAACTGGTTGAATTATTGGCACCAAGGCATGACTTTTGTTGACCTTTAGAAAGTGCTATTGGAAGACACTGTTCATA